AAGAAAGGAAGAAAGGAAGAAAGGAAGAAAGGAAGAAAGGAAGAAAGGAAGAAAGGAAGAAAGGAAGAAAGAAAGAGAAATCCTACCTGGAGGGGGGGAGAGGGGGAGAGAGAGAGAGAGAGAGAGACTGACTGGAGATGTGGTTTAGCAATTAAGAGCATTGGCTATTTTCACAGAGGACCTAGGTTCAATTTTCAATACCCATGTGTCAGCTCACAACTGCCTGTAACTCCCATCCTGAGACCATCTCTGGCCTCTATAGGCACCAGGCACACACAAAGTACACATAGATAAAGGCAAAGCACCAATACACATTTTTTTAAAAAAATCAAATAAGCCGAGAGACAAAGAGAAGGAAAAAGGGAAAGGAAAGAACCCTGCCTTGAGTAGCCAGGGGAAATGAGGACATCATTAGAATTTAGTGATTAGGTGCAGTTTCCAAAGACTTTAACTCTTGGTCAAGAAATACAAAGGTAGCCAGGCTGTGGTGGTCCATGCCTTTAATCCCAGCACCTTGAAGGCAGAAGTAGGCAGATCTCTGGGAGTTCTAGGCCATCCTGATCTACAGAGCAAATCCCAGGACAGCCAGGACTACACAGAGAAACCTTGTCTTAAAAACAAACAAATAAAAAGATAAAAAGAGACCTATAGCCACAAAAGCTACTGGAGGAAAAGCTATTTTAGGCAGGAAGATATTAAGGGCACATTAGGATCAAAATGTCTGTGAGATGTCCAGACAGAAATATCTAGTAGACCACTAGCTGCTGTTTATTGGTACTCATCCCAGCTATTAGACTGTAGCTAAATAATACTTTAGAGCCATTAGCTTGAAAGTAATGGCTCAAGCCAAGAAAAGTGGGATGGCCTAGGAATGGGGAAGAAGATGAGCCAAAGACAAGACTAAAGTTTGAGGATAATAATATCTAAAAACAAATCAAACAAAAAAATCACAGTGGAAGAGACTACAGTATGAACTTCCAGTAAAGCTGTCAAATGCCTCAGAGGACATAGACATTTGGAGCTGTGTGTGGTGTCACAGATTTGTGATACCAGTACTGAGGATTCTGAGGCAGGAGAATGCAGAGTTAAAGGCACAGGTAGGCTACAAAGTAAGTTCAATGTTGGCCTGAGCTACAAAGGGAGACCTGTTTGAAAATTCAGAGGCTGGAGGGATGACTCAGTTGTTAAGAATACTTGGTGAGCAAGACAGTGGTGGCACCTTTAATCCCAGCACTCTAGAGACAGAGGAAGGCAGATACTGAATTTGAAGCCAGCCTGATCTACACAGTGAGTTCCAGGACAGCCAGGGCCACATAGAGAAACTCTGCTTCAAAAAACAAGAACAAAACCAAACCAAAACAAAACAAGAATTCTTGGTGCTCTTGCAGAGGACTTGAGTTGGATTCTCAACGTCAGACAGTTCACAACAAACTGTAACTTCAAGGGAACCTTCACACATGTGACATACACTTGCATAGATGTGCACATACATTAAAAAAAAAATGAAAATCAAGGCTAGAGACATGGCTCAGTAGTTAGGAGTACTTGCTGCTGAGTTCCAGAGGCCTGAATTCAGTTTCTAGCACTCACTATCAGATGGCTGAGGACCACCAGTAACTCCAGCTCCAGGGAGGTATAGTGTCCTCTTCTGGGGGGTGTGATGTCCTCTTCTGGGAGGTGTGAAGTCCTCCTCTGCGGGGGGGTGTGATGTCCTCTTCTGGGGGGTGTGATGTCCTCTTCTGGGGGGGTGTGATGTCCTCTTCTAGCTTCATTAAGCACCCACACACATATGGCATACACACATTCATACATTAAAATAAATCTTTAAGATTTTTTTTTTTTTTTTTTTTTTTTGCCGGGCGGTGGTGGTGCACGCCATTAATCCCAGCATTTGGGAGGCAGAGGCAGGTGGAGTGAGTTCCAGGACAGCCAGGCTACACAGAGAAACCCTGTCTTGAAA